TGTTCCAATTAGACAAAACTTACACAGAAAACATATCATCAATAATCAGTGGTGTGTGCATTGCGTGAACATAGTAGAATCAGACATCCGTGTGATTTGGGACTGTAAGTTATCTAAATTATTTTGGTCTTTATTTGGTTATCAATAGCCTAGTAATTTAATTGGGGACTTTCTAGCTGGCTTCGATGGCTATTCAACCATTACAGCAGTACACAACATTTGGAAATAGTAGAAATCATTTGGGGTTTTTTGTTCGCTCGCAATAAATTTATCCATGAAGGTTATCAAACAAGGGTGGAAGAGATTATTACCTTAGTCCACTAGCAATGCCAGGAATTCGCACTCGCCAACGCTTGTCTTCAGGGAACCACACCAAAGCTACCCGTTCGCTGGAAACCCCTTTATTCTCACTCGTCATAGGTGAATTTTGATGCATGCTTCTCGCAATGCCAGAACAGTTCATGGTCAGGGATAGTAGTTAGAAACAGTAAAGGTTACATTTTAGGAGCGTGTCGAAGAGAACTGAAATGGGTTACCATAGTTTTTCTAGCAGAGGCTACTGCTGCTGCTTTATATGCAATTGAGTTCACATCAAACCTGTGGCTCAGCACCGTTATCTTCGAAGGCGACTCGAGGACTGTCATCGAAAAACTTGCTTCACCGACTATCAATCTCTCTATGATTAGTGTGTTGACATGGGAGGGCAAAAGTCGAGCCTGCCTGCTCCACACATGTTCCTTTATCCACAAGCTGGCTTCAGATCGGAATCTGGGAACGAAGGACAAAATTACTGGATCAAAGAGTCACCTGGGTGTGTGGAAGAACAGGCTGCGGAGGACAGACGCTGGATTGACCACCTGTAGCCCCTTTTGTGTTCTTATGCTCGTTAGGCTATATGCGTTTCTCTTTTTTTCCTTGTCGGAGCGTTTCATCCGAGTATCTCAGAAGTGGCACAAGGAAAAGGAAAGCAATATTTTTCGTTTGTTTAGTGCTAATGTTATCCTTTCATTTCACTTTTTGTTTTTCTTTAGTGTGTTACAATTGGACAGGAGTGTTTATTGTTTTTATTTTTGCTTTAGTGAATGGCTTTTCCGTTTCTAAAAAATGTAAGTTTTGATGATTAAATTTATTATATCAATTTTATTAATAATTACGTCTAATGTTGTTAGATTAGATTTTTTTTAACAATGTTGATTTAATTTATTATCTTTTAAATCTAATTATCAGTACATAATTATTTTAAAAGAAATGGAATAATTTATTTATAATTCTTCATAGTCAACAAAATGTATTAAAAGACTATTTGTATATTTTTCTAATATTAAGTTCGGTGTAGATGTTTGTGGAATCTTACATCTACCTAATAATCAAATCGACTTCACTTATATATTATCTTAAACAATATCTGACATTGTTGCAATTTTTATTATTTACCATCTGACACCTTAATTTCACCGTCTGAAATATTAATCCAAGCTCAAAAGTCTTGGGACATCATTCCCTAAGAGCATCTGATATGTAACAGCTGTCCCTGTTAAAGTTGCAAGGATTCCTCTTATCATCATCTTAATTACTCCCGACTGTCTTAACTGTAACATGATTTTTAGTTACAGTACCAGATTCCCATGCATAATCCCCTTATTTCTTGCAGAAGAAAACTAGAAATTTGAAGGCAAGCATACTTCAAGAAACAAAACATAGGTCAATTGATTAAGAACCTAGGATGTTGGCTTTTACATATCTTTCTTATTTTCACCCCCATCTTCACCTTTGAGCTTTAATCAACAGCTTACTCTCTTATTTTTTAACTAAATTATTTTCTGTCTCAAAACTATTATCTTCTTTTAGAAAGATATGCCTGACATTGTTTTTAAACTTTAAAACCTTTTTTAAGACATGAAATTAATGTCTCACAATTCTCTAGGACATAGCATTAAACAGGACCATAATAACAAGCATCTCATATGTTTATGTAACAAAATGTTCAAATCTCTTAAAGTTGACATGCACACTATCTTTAATTTAACTTATAGTCTATTCTATCCAATAATTAAGCATTTTGTCCGAATCATATAAACTGAATTATGAAAGAATTGTATAGAGACAAAGGTGAGATGCCATGATTTCAAGCAACCATGACATGAGACCAAATTCCATCACATCCTTTGGAATCTAGAGACTCAACAAGAGGATATGACATATGATATATACATGTAACACACACACATTTATTAATAACTTAGAATTTTATAATTAATACTTGGTTCAATTTAAATGATAATACAAATCATAGTCTTTAGGTATAAACGTATATAATAAGTATAAAAGAAGTGGAAAATCACAAGATAAAATTGTTTCATCACGAATTATCTAAAGAAAATAATTTTTTTTATAATAATTTAGGGTGATTACAATGCAATATATGTTTAAAATCTTTTTTAAACTATTGATATGCATGCACATTCTACAGACACAACTACTCTAATATGAAATCTTTAAGAATAATAACACTCTTTTTTATCACTTACTTGGATTCAAAAATAATTTTTTTATCACTAATAATAGTAAGATTAGTTATAAATGGGAGAAAGAAAAAAGAGTTGCAATACCTTAATTGGTTACTTGAATGAGGAATACAAGTTCCAAAGTGACCCTTGATTTCCCACATGCCATGTAAACCCATGATAGAGCAAAAGTAGTCTTAGCTAGCTGGCAAATGGCACTATCATTGACTAAATAACAATCAATTTGTTTTCGTTTTCACCGAATACTATAGCTTATTGACAATTTTATAGTGTGCCCAATTAATTACAATTAAATACACACAGCCATGAGAAGTGTCAACCCACTCATTAATTGGACCGAAAACATCACCTGTGAATAATTAATGAGGTGTTAGAATTGGCCTAGATTCTTACTTGTGTTAAGTCCCATATAGTATTTGTGGCAGCTTGGCCAAATTCATATTTTAAAAGCAATTTGCAATTTACTTAATTTTAGACCTCAAACACCCATTCTTAGTAATCAAATTCTTTTTTTTTTTAGTGTTAAGAGAGAGAAAAAAAACATAATTAATCCTTATCTCCTACATGCCAGGAGATCACTGTTTCTGCTTCCTCCAAATCAGCAATGAGTCAAAGCCCAAATGAAAATATCATGACGTCAAAGAAATTTTAAATCACACATTCACTTAAATTCTAATCGAGAATTAAATTAGATTTTTACTAATTTTAATAGTTAGAGATTAATAATGATTAAGTTTATTTAGACCAGAATTCTTATAGAATAAGATTTATTGATGGCTAATGGTCAATTTGGTATAGCTTTTGAAACAAACTTTTAAAAGTATTGTACGAAAGTACAATTTAAAATTTAATTGTTCGGGATTACTGTTAAAAAGTGAGTTTAAAAAGATAAAATGTTAATTATAGACATTATGTTGTAAAATAAAAATATAACATTTAAATTATATTTACACTTCTATATGAATCATATTAATTTAAACAGTAATAAGTTCAAAAAATATTATTATATATGAATTATATTAATTTAAACTACAATAAAAATATAAAAAAACATAAATAAAAAATATAATTATAATAAAAATATAATTTATATAACTCACTATTAATATTTTAATATATAAATAATAAATTTTTTTTTAATAAATAATTAAAATAAATTATTAAAAGTAATAAATTATTTTTTAAGGTTGTTATTATTAAATTATTAAAATAAAATGTAAATACATAATTGAACGGAGCCTATGCATTAGTAGTAAAATTATAATTTCCTTCCAAACGCAAAATTAAAAATGAAAAAACTAAAAATCATAGATTTTGTTGTTGGTTTGAAATCACCATTTCCACTATTTTTTTTCATTTTTACCCGTTGACATTGATTTTACAGTCAAAACAGACTTTTTAGCTAAAATTACTTTTAGAAAGCTTTACCAAACCGACCCTAAGTATTTCGCTCTATAACTATAAAATATGTTTTAATCTTAGCCTTCAAATTATGACAAATAATTATTGGAGAGATGTGTTCTCTTTTTGGGATCTTTGTTTAAGAAATTGATTGATTTTTGTAGAGACGTGAGAAGAGTTTTGGTAGAACACTAGGTTTATAAGATATATCAAATTTTTTTGTATACATGAAATTTCATTTGAATGCTTTGTAATCTTTATATTTATAATATATTTTTTATCTTCCATAAAAGTAAACAATGACATACGTCGTTGAATCTTATCTTTTATGTATAATTTATTTCATGTTGATTTTACTTCGATTATTATTATTTAATTATAATTTGATTTGCAATAATCAAAAGACCAAAACAGAAAAAGAAAATCATTTAGAAGTTTCTAACCTACAGGGGGATGATAAAAGCTCAATATATATATACCTTTTGTCTCACCCAAATTCATGTAATGTTAGATCCTTAAATGCCACAAAATAGCATGTGCTCACAGCCTGTCCTTCACATGCATCCAATTCACCCTCCCCCACACATAATCAAAAAATTCAACAAGGATCCACCCCCATCACAAAAACTATCCTCTTCACCAATGTCACTTCGTTTACATTGTATAGGGTTGGATATCGGATCGGTTAAAAGTGATTCAAACCCCATTTCGAACAAACCAGCGAACAATTTAGTTCTAATACCATGTTAAAGTAACTTCAAAACTACCTCTGATAACATGTTAAACTTCGAAACTAGATTATAAATTGCCAAAGAGTACAATCGAAGCATTTGATTTAACTGCATTATTCATTAAGGAAAATAGCAAAGAGAAGTGGACATCAAGTAAAGCAAATGTAGAAGAAAGACATCAACCAACAATTGTAGGTGAAAAGGCATATGTGGAGTGTATCAATTGTTTGAGTGACTAAACAAAACAAAAGGCAAATGAAACAAGAATACTCATTTATCTTCCTCTTTTTGTTCGAGAAAAATAAAATGAGGATTCTTTAGTTGTCAGTCTGGGTAATAATTATTTTTTACCCAAAGTAGGAAACATTATCATTTGAAATGGTGCTATAGTCTGCGGCGGTGGTGGGTTGAGTGTATATGGAACAAGTAGTAACCACGGTAGTCGTAGGAAGAGGAGGCGGTAGCAGAGGTGGTGGTTGAGTGGTGGACGGTGGCGGTGCAGCCACCGAAACAACCCCGGGTGAGAGCATGGCTACATGGGAAGAAGATGGTATAAGGTTAGCTTCCCTACACTTGTATTTTATTATCTCAGACCTTACTGCATTCAGTTCTGCTTGTAAAGATTGAAGTTGCTGCTGCAAAGCTGAAATAGCACCCATGCACCCATACACCGGGTCTCGTAGCCTTACGTTCGCCTCGTAAACGAGGCTATTCGCCGCGTCGGCTCGTTGGCTCTCAGGTACTTCCTGAAATACACGCACTGGAATGAATTAACCAAAGAGAAGAACAAATTATAGGGGGTTTGGGGTTCATTGTTGTACTACCATCAACATCTTGGAGACATTGCTGGCACCGAACACTTTGTGAACAGAAGCGAACTTTTGGGGTTCGTGTGGGGAGAAATACGGAGAAAAAGGGCACTCTTGAGCACACCTACGCCTCAGGAGTTTGCAGGCAGCACACGGTGTAATGGTATTTAGGGTTCCAGTAGGACCCAACATATACCTTCTTCCCATCTGATAATTACATGAAACATCTGCTTCTCTCTTTATCTTCCTCCCTATCTCCTCAAATCTCTCCCTAAAACACCCTCAGACAAACAAAAAAGTTACCACTTTGTTTATATATGAATGAATAATCTTCTTATAAGAGACGATTAAGGGAAAAAATAGCTTGATAAGTGCACAAGGAACATGAAGAGATCATAATTGTTACCTTTCTCTGGACATTCAGACATGCACTCAAGTATGGAGAACAAATTTGTGAGGCTGATGAAATGAAGCAAGGAAGAAAGAAAAGAGAGAGGGGGAGGAAAAGAGTGCTTAAGAGGCAAGATATACACAGGGAATGGTATGGTACACTGTTTATATAAAATGAAATTACAAAATAATAGAGAAAGGAAAGGGTTGCTAAAGTTGATATGAATACGAGGGTTCCTGGGATTGTGATTTGCCACTCTGGGGAGCAAAAGCTTTAATGGAAGCTCAAGGGAGAGGGGAGTCTGGATTTGTAGTACAAAAAATACCAGCTCTTGCTCACGTGTGATCCCTTAAATGTTTTGACTTTCTGGAATTTTGTCCAACTATTCAACCTTGGGTTTGCCATGTGCTCTTTGCTTCTTTCATAGGGAAGACCCTCTTCTTACTCACCTTTTGTACATCTTACAAATGTGGTATATGTCTACGCTTTTGAATCTAAAACGTGTTTCATTTCATGTATACAAGAAATAAATTTTTTATGTCCGCCTTCACTTCAAAATTAATTAATTATACAATCTTCCTTAAAATTATGAATCTAAACAATTTAGAGCTTGATTATCAACATGTACATTTCTTTCTTCAATCCTCAAGTTATACATATGGGTAATCGAAGAAGCAAATTCAACATTAAATTATAATGCATCTATTCATAGAGAAAACAATGGAGACAATAGTCACCAAAAAACTCATACAAAAATAATAATATTAAATCTAAAAATAGGAAAAAAATGAAACATTAATTCACTTGAGAATGAGGACCAACATCAAAATAATTCAGAAACCTTCGTTAAAACTCATCTATGTTGAATGAGCCACTTTATGAAGTTAAATGAGTGACGAGCGAATTAAACTATCTAACTATATGTGACCATCGACAAACTAATCAGAAAATAAATGTCGTGAAGATCTTTGTACGAGCACGAAAACGATCACAAAAGTATGCAAAAAACATACCAAAAATCATAAGGCTCATGCTACAAGAGTAGAGAAAACATGTGTCAGAAGAGCAGAGAAAACGTATAACAAAGAACAAAGATTCTTATTCAAAATTTTAAAAAAAAACTCAAGGAAAAAGGATAACAAAGACATAGTATGAAAAAAAGAAAATTAATAATCACCAACGGTCAACAATTAATATTAAAATTGGTGTTACCGTCGGCTAAATAAAAATTAAAGAGCAAAAGGGAAACAACATAAAATTATTGAGAGAAAATCTAGATTAAAAAGGAAGAAGGCATCTATACAATATATATATTGTAAAAAGGGAATTGGGGTGGATGATAGTCATAGAGTCGTGGATTCAATTGTGAATTAGGTCAGCCAAGCATGTTAGTTTCTTGTCAAAATCAAGAAGCCATCTCTCCCAAGAAAAAGGACCAAATCTTGGGATCTTCTGGTTTCCAAAATTAAATTTAATCATAATCAGAATTGCCGTGCACTACCCGCAATTTGCTGTTTCAAGATGTAAAATTAAGCCTCCAACATGCACACACCTTAATCATCACAACATCTGTTTTAACATCTACATGTGTTAAGTTGTAATCTAAGGGTGCGTTTTGTTTACGGAATGTAAGATTACCAGTGGGAATAGGATTACTGACGGGAATAAGATTACTGGGAATGTTGTATTTTGTGTTTGGTTGGTTTAGTAGGAATAAAAGATTATAGTGTTTGGTTAAAGGAATAAAAGATTATTGGAATGTATATTTTACCAAATTGTCCTTATTATATATTTATTTTTTAACAAATTGAATTATACTATAATATTACTATAATTAAATTTTATATATATTTTTTAAAAATTTTAAATTCATAAAATTTATATAATTTTTTTACAAAATTAAAAAGATAAATAAGTTTAATGAAATGGTACAATTTTATTTTAACCCCTGAACTTCATATAAAACTTTAATTATAGATTTTTTTTGTAAATCTAAAATAGTTTAAGGATAAATTTGTAATTTAACCTTCATAGAAATTTTATTATTCAAAGACGAAAGAAGAATATTTTTGAAAGAATTTTTTTAAGGGCATTTTAGTCCAAAACGACGGTAATCTAACAATACCTAAGAGAAATGGAGTAATCACATTCCCAGTAATATACCCCAAAATACCACTGTTGGTAATAAAAGATTATCGGGGGCTGAGAATGTTGGCCAATCAAATGGGGGAATGAGATTCCATTCCCCGGTAATCTCAGATTACCTGAACCAAACACTCCTAAGTTCCATCTTAATTCTATTCCATCTATTAATACTAATTTAAAAATATGTCTGTTTAAATACATTAAATATAAATCATAAATAATTTGATATAATGAAATAGAAGGTACTATTTTCTATTTAATTAATTTTTTAAAAATTAATATGCTAAAATTAATTAATTAATAAGACTTTATAGGAGTAAATAGCTCAACACACATGCCGTTAAGAACTTGTTATGAGGAACTAGTCTTCATCATCCCCCTAGTAATCAAACTTCAAATCAATGATGTTATTTGAATACCTTCAAGATTGTACATATTCTTATTTATTATAAAATAACTCTTCAAATTCTAATTTTAATTATTTTAACTATTTAAATTATTTTTGTATTTTTAGATATTTTTGTATTTTATCATTTATACTTTTATCTTATTCACACTACAACAAAAATGGTTTTTAGCGGCGGATGTAGCGGCGTTTTTACAACAAACGCATGTAATTTTTTACATGTAGTGGCGTTTTTGGGAAAATGCCGCTAAAAACGCGTACGTTAGTGGTGTAAAAAACGTCGCGATAGCCCAAATATATAGTGGTGTTTTTGTAAAGACACTGCTATAAATGCATACGTTAGTGGCGTTTTAGAATAAACATTGCTATATAACGACAAAAGGTGGCGTTTCTACAAAATGCCGCTATAAACTTATGCAATAGTGGCGTTTTTAATTAAAACGCCCCAAAATCATGTACATTAGTGGCATTTTTTCGTGTAAACACCGCGAAAGGACAATTATATCTCCTCTTTCTCCTGCCCAATCCCTATTTCATTTTCCATCTTCTTCCCTATCTTCCCTCTTCTCTGGTACAACATATTCTCTGCCACACACCATCATTCTTGCCGTCAATCTTCTCGACACTGTCGTATTTTACCTCAAATCTATTTCACTCATTCTCTCTAGTTTGAAAGGTAACTTCTTAATCCTTCTTGTTTCTCCTTAATTTTGCCAATTCGAAATATTAGAAGCTTCAGATTGGGTTGATATCCAGGGCTAGTCGGCATATCTAAGAGGTTTCATTTGCCTCTTTTTTTACCTGGCATATCTAAGAGGTTTCATTTGCCTCTTTTTTGTTTATGATTCTTCTATGGCTTTTGTTTATAAGATGATCCATACCTTTGAATGTCGATGCCATGTAGGTTGGTGATGCCACGAAAGCTCTTGATACTACAAATAGAACAACTCTTGAGAAGAATGGGCAGATCTTAAGAGTACCATATGCGAAGAGCATTCTAGGCCCTAGATCAGGGACACTGAGAGCTTCACAGTCAAGGAGTCTCGCAGCTACTGCGATTGAGGCAGCAGCTTTTTCTCAACAGGTATTTGAAGATATCTTTAGTTTTAATGATGTCTGCAAATATTTTTTTTGGTCTGAGTGTAAAAATGTTTTTATTAGAAAAAGTATGATAGTTCCTGCTATTAAATAAATTTGTGTTTTTATTGCCAAGCGTATAGGATGGAAAACCTTGTCAGCTTAGGTAAGATTAAAACCTAATAAAGAATGTTCAAAACCAGGTATGTGAATAAATATGGTCTAATTTGCCTGATTAACCGTGAGAGAAAAGTGTATAAAAACCAAGAACAAAATCATTAGCACCAACTCTGTTCTACAGTTTACTTCCAGATCACCTCTATCACCCACAAAATCATTAGATCAATGATCATGATGTTTGCATTTCAATGAAATAGCTTGGTCCTAGAACTGACTGAAAGAAGATTTTGGAGGACTTACTAACAAGAAAGTTGTTGATATGAATCCAGAAAAAGGATGGGAAGACATAAAGAAACTTAAAATGTGTATGTGGAATTGAAAGAAAGAAGGCTCCATATTTGATCAGCTCCTTAACCGAAGTGATAAGAATAAAGTAACAATGAGAAATACAAAGCTATAATTAGTTGTAAAAATGTTGATAATCATGCCACTATAAGGTGTCATTGAAAAGTCAATTGTGTTCCAGTATCTTCTAAAATCCAATGGCATAACCAACCTATATGGCATCAACATTCAGAGGTAAGTAAAGGTGCGCGCATTTCGTAGGCGAATTGATTTTTAGACGTTGCTTGATTGCATTTTCCTTGTTTCTTTGGTTAAATTCATTACTTTGCTTAATAATCTGCTGTTTTGTTTGTTTGTTTGTTTGTTTGTTTGTTTGTTTTGAGCTTTATTTCGGTATTGTTATTTCCATGTTTGTTAATGAAGTTGATTTTTGACATGCATTAATTAACTCGATCACCCATATGTATGGACAGAGAAAGAGAAATTATCATTGAAATGTCCACGTGGCGTATTTTCTCTAATGACATATCAAATTATCGT